TAAATCTCTTCCAAACCAAGTTTATCATTAAAACAAACTATCTAAATCTCTTCCAAACCAAGTTTATCATTAAAACAAACTATCTAAATCTCTTCCAAGCCAAGTTTACCACCAAACTGATGTGTACACAAATACAAATTTGTCTGTGTATCTGGAGCCTGGTGTGACCAGTAGTTAGCATGTTTGAAGTCCAGGTTCAAACCGTGATATGTCGCTGAACCAGAACGCACACCTGCATTTATAGCTCTGGCAGCATTATAATTGTAACAGTCGTTCCTGCTGCTTGGTTAAGAGTAGACTTGTAAACATCGGACGCTATTGACTGGTCACTATTCTTTTTGCCAGTAGTTCTAAATTAGGAAGTAGACTTGACATAAGTAAGTGATAATAAAGAATAAATTGACTCGTCTAAATGAAAACTTTTTTTAGTTTGCTTTGTGTGCGACTTTTCAAGCAGACGCCCTCCGTCAGGTGTTAAAGACCGTGTTACAATTGAATTAGCTCTGAGCATTTGTTTGTTTCTTGTTAAACACAAAACTGCACACTGGGTTATCCGCGCGTTGCCCATCACGGCTATCGAAATCCGTCATAAGTCTTCAGACTTACCGCTGAAAGGGAGGGGGGACAAGAAAGACTATACGTGTGATTTTACTGCATTATCAGCTATTAGGATTACAATGGTATTTAAGTCATGTTATTAACTGTTCAGCAGAAGAATTACTATTATTATAGATGGCGCTATAAAAAACATGTACTGAGAGAACTGCAAAATTATAATTATATTTTGATTATTAAATGTAAGAAAAGTAGGGGTGGGCTGTTTATACCTAGGAATAAGGGTAAGGATGAATGTCTTGAAGTAGAGGTGATTATCCAAAACTTGTAATCATGGGTATCGAACTTTATAATATACACTCAACATTTAGTAGGTTGAAATAAATACGGGCACGTCGTGTAGGTGTAGAATAAATACCATGAGTTGGATACGAATTAATGAGCAATATACTTCCAGGTTGGAGACCAAATAATAGCCATCAACGGTTATAGCATTGAGCAAGCGATTCACGACGAAGTATTGACCTTACTCCGAGACAGGAATGGTGTCATTCTTAAGGTTAAAAGTAAGATTGCTTGAAATAATGTGCCTAGAGAACCAGTCATTCTTAAGGTTAAAAGTAAGACTGCTTGAAGTAATGTCTATAGAAAACCAGTCATTCTTAAGGTTAAAAGTAAGATTGTGTGTGTAGAAAACCAGTCATTCTTAAGGTTAAAAGTAAGACTACTTGGAGTGATGTGTGTAGAAAACCAGTCATTCTTAAGGTTAAAAGTAAGACTGCTTGAAGTAATGTGTTTAGAAAACTAGTCATTCTTAAAGTTAAAAGTAAGACTGCTTGAAGTAATGTGTTTAGAAAACTAGTCATTCTTAAGGTTAAAAGTAAGACTGCTTGAAGTAATGTGTTTAGAAAACTAGTCATTCTTAAAGTTAAAAGTAAGACTGCTTGAAGTATTATGTTTAGAAAACTAGTCATTCTTAAGGTTAAAAGTAAGACTACTTGGAGTAATGTGTGTAGAAAACCAGTCATTCTTAAGGTTAAAAGTAAGACTGCTTAAAGTAATGTGCCTAGAAAACCAGTCATCCTTAAGGTTAAAAGTAAGACTGCTTGAAGTAACGTGTATAGAAAACTAGTCATTCTTAAGGTTAAAAAGTAAGATTGCTTGAAATAATGTGCCTAGAGAACCAGTTGTTCCTAAAATAGTAAAATTTCTCGATGTAAAGGAATACAGAAAAATATAATTGATTCTTGAAACCGTCGGTACTTGGTGAAACTCAAAAGTTACAGAACTGAAGTAAAATAAGACAAATTGTACGTTTCACAAATACATCATTTATTCTGACCATGCCAGTAAAGGCATCATCAGGTCGTGATAAATTATGTAATTGTGAAACGTACAATTGTCTTGTTTTCCCCCAATTCTGTAATACAGAAAAATAATGTTTTTGATTCTGAATTTCAGCTTAGAAGATTATTGTACATAGTCAAACTAATCGATACTGTATAAATAACCAAATCAATCATTGAATGTGTTGGTAATCTCCAGCCTATTTTATCCAGCTATGAAGAATGATGAAAAGCTAAATAACGTTCTTTTTTCTTCTCTTGCAGCTATTGCAGATAGCTCCGTGAAAGAGTGAGTAGAGTAACGTGGATGTTTTTTATTTATTACTCTTTCAAAACATTAATTGTAAAAATAGTCTCATTATTTTTTCTGGTTATGATGTTGCACTCTTTCTCCTTTCAGCACAAATGTAAGTTATTGAGTCTTTGTGAAATCCTCTTTTTTTAGCCACCAAAAGATTTTCTGTGTTTTTACTATATCTTAACCTCTAACTATTATATATACTTCTTTACAAGTCCATTTGACCTTCAAAGCTCAAAGTTCATTTGGTCTTACAATTCAATTGAAAATCACTTTTAACTGAAGATGAACTTCGTTTCTTTATCAGATTAAATGTTTTGTACCGTGGTCAGACTTCGTACATTAAACGTTTTGTACCGTGCTCAGACTTCACACATTAATTAAACTTATTTTTTGTTACAATTTTATATTAAAATAAATAAAATTGAAAAAAAATCGGACAACAAAATACACAAACATGGTTCCCCTGCTGGCACAGCAGTAAGTCTACGGACTTACAACGCTCAAATCAGGGTTTGATTCCCCTCGGTAGACACAGCAGATAGCTCGATGTGACTTTGCTATAAGAAAATCACAGACAGACACACACACACATGGAGTTAGTGTTGACAACCTGTGATTTGTTTAAACGTAAATTGTACTAAAGCTTTTTTCTCCGTATTTTGCCAGTTATTCTCCTACGTTGATGACAAACATGAAATCGAAGTCCAGAAGATCTGGTTTCAGTCAAACATTGCATCAAAAATACAGCAACTCAGACACTTTGTTTAATGATAAAACACTTGCAGAAGCAATGCCAATTAATGGAGATCACGAGGGTCAGCCAAATTCCGAACAGATCGACTCGAACGATGAGGCTCACGAATCATCAAGAGGAGAAAGAAAGGATCATGAAACATTAGGAGAAGAGAACAAAGATGAAATTGAAGGTCATGATCCATCAGGAGCTGAAATCAATGTTCACAAACCACCAAGAGAAGAAAACAACAGTATATATCAGTGGTTGAAATGTGTGCCTGTAGATGTATCTAATGATGAACTCCAACCCACCATTGGTTCCACGGTCCCAGAAGAGAAGAAGTCTACTTCTCATCCATTTAAAGACGAAACGTCAGAGGCAAAATGTGATCCAGATCAAATATCAGCATCAAAGCCAAAATGTGATCCAGATCAAATATCAACATCCGAGCCAAAATGTGATCCAGATCAAACATCAGATCCAAAATGTGATCCGGATCAAACATCAGATTCAAAATGTGATCCAGATCAAACATCAACATCAGAGCCAAAATATGATCCAGATCAATCATCAACATCTACGCAACATCCAGCTCTGGAAAAGTAATCCCTCTTTCGCTCTCTGCTTGTATACTTAATAAAAATAGGTAAAATCTGGATAGTTTACAAATATCAGTAAAATGACATTACTAGTTATTTTGTTGAAAAGTTGTGAATAATATTTTTTTACACCGATGACTAACTTTAAGTTCGGGCCATCTACAATTTCTTTCCCCGCCAGAAGGCTGAGGTGTTTCATTTTTTTTTTCCGCAGGAAGCCGAAAGATGACCAAGAAGACACAGCCGGAATCACTTCCGATACATCTACAAATACTTCTGGACTGTCAGTGAATGTAAGTAGTTAAAGTACAGTTTCTCTACTTAAGATTATTTATTGCTAAGAAAACAGACGTGGATATATGTCACGAACGATCTGAATTATCGTTTAGAATATGGGTATATTTATGAACTTTTTGAAATTTGTTCAGGAAGTTTTAGAGACTGCACAAATGAAACTTGACATGTTGTGTTCGGAGCAGTCAACACTTTCCTCAATATATTCACGGAGAAATTTTTAGTGCAAAATACTTTATTAAAAATTACAATGTTATGTCTACAAATGCCTCTTAATGCTTACTAAAACCTTGCGAATTTTCGTGAACATAAAAGAAACATACTGAAAGGGTACTTATTGCTGAGAAACCAGATATGGATAAATATCGTGAACGATCGTCAGCAACAAAATGTCATTCCTTAAAGTACAGTCTTGGCCAAAATGTTTGCATATTTTTTAACAAGTAAGATCATTATTATTAAGGTGGAATACAAATACATTTAGTGCTGTCAAACTGAGAAATGTATGTTATATTAAACATCTACAAGTATAATTTGTATAATAAAACAGGTTCTATTGACATCATGAACGATTTATTAAAGAAGCAAACAATTTTATCAGATTCCTGTGCAAAGGTGTATAATTCAACATTTCAATTATCACAACAAAACCTTACCAAAACATATATAATAACAAAATATAACACTAAATTATTATAAATAGCGTCTGTTACCTTATAACAGTTCATATTAAACGTTCAGTATTGGGTTGGTCTTCCTCGTACTCTAATAACCTCTGCAAGGCGATATGGCATGCTGTCGATGAGGTTATTGATGTAATCCACCGTGATTTTATCTCAACTTGTCACTAGAAGGCACTTTAACTTGGCTACAGTAAATGGATTAGAGTCGTGGTTAGCAATTTTCCTGCTCAATTGCCAAACCTTGCACTAGTATTTGGATTTGGCAGAAATATAGTCTCCATGTGATATATGTAGGAGGTGCCATTGACGTTTCCCTGTAGGATATGAAGAGCAATTTTTCCACCTTGGTTAAACGGTGCCCAAACATGTACTGCAGCACCTCCTATGTGTTCCATGTGGAAAAGACAGTTTTCCCTCATCTGTTATCCAGGCAAACAACAAACACGAATCCCACCATCAGCTTTAAAAAGCCAGAAACAAGACTTATCTGAAAAGATGACATGTTCCAGTGTCTTAACTGTAAGTTGGGCATGCTACCTTGCCTAATTAGCATGGTGGCGGCGGTTAATTCTGGTTGATATCGAATTGCAAACAGCCCATCTTGCAAAATAACCTTGTTAGGTCAGTCTCCTGTTCACTGTGCTTCTGAATACCCTGGAATGAATGTGTTCATGCCATTGCTGTCATAAGGTGTTGCAAGATATATTTCAACCTTGATGTGCTAACATGATCAAAACACGGTCATCTCGGGCAGTAGTTTTGCGGCGTCTACCTGTAGACTTTCCTGGAACAACGTTTCCTGTAGTCCGATGACGTTTCAGGATTCTGGATACAGTACACTGGGGGTACCCTACTGCTCTGGCGATGTCCATTTGCTTCATCCCATTTCTGGACAGTGAAACAATTTGACGCCCTATAACTTCTGATACGTGACGAGGCATAACTCTACACCAAGTACAGAGAAATTTTCTGAATAAAGCATTGATCTGTTTCGAAAACGATAGTATCAAAAGCACACCTTTTTATATGCGTTTTTACGAAGAAATGCTCAAAACAACTTGTACAGACCAGAATAACAACTCTTGCATGTCTGTCCGATCGTAAACTACCTTACCTGTTATTACTCGGGCATTTACTCAATGACTACTTCATGCATTTAGATAATAACACCAGTATAGAACAGCATGCAAACATTTTGGCCAAGACAGACTTTATGTGTATCTCGATGGTTCAACAGTAAGCTTAAGAGCATATAACTCTAAAATTCAGGGTTCGATCACTGTGATGGGCACAGCGCAGATAACCATTATACAAATTTGTAATAAAACAACAACAAAGAAAGAAACATAGTGTCTGTCCATCAAGCTATCACAATTTCTGAAATGGGAATCGTCTTACTTATTCTATCATCAGTTTCAAGAAGTTAAGCATATCACTGAAGACCACGTTGTTCTGAAATTTCAACAGTTCAATTTGATATAAAAGGAGCATCCCTTGTTGTAGTGTCAACAGTCCAATTTGATATAAAAGGAGCATTCCTTGTTGTAGTTTCAACAATCCAATTTGATATAAAAGGAGCATCCCTTGTTGTAGTTTCAACAGTCCAATTTGATATAAAAGGAGCATCCCTTGTTGTAGTTTCAACAGTCCCATTTGATATAAAAGGAGCATCCCTTGTTGTTGTTTCAACAGTCCAATTTGATATAAAAGGAGCATCCCTTGTTGTAGTTTCAACAATCCAATTTGATATAAAAGGAGCATCCCTTGTTATAGTTTCAACAGCCCAATTTGATATAAAAGGAGTATCCCTTGTTGTAGTTTCAACAGTCCAATTTGATATAAAAGGAGTATCCCTTGTTGTAGTTTCAACAGCCCAATTTGGTGTTAAAGATGAATCCCTTGTAGCAGTTTCAACTGTTCAAGTTAATACAAAGGTATATCCCTTACAGCAATTTCAACTGTTCAGTTTGATACAAAAGGAGTATCCCTTGTTGTAGTTTCAGTTGTTCATTTTGATATGAAAGGAATTTGTTTGCTGTGGTTTTGGTTTGGAATCTCATGCTAGTACTGAAAGATAATTTTGACATTTAAATCTCGCAACATAATAATTGTTTTGATAACTTAACGTGAAGTTCTGTACTCGAAAGAACCATTTTTAATGTGTATTTTATCCTACAAAACTTAAAATCTGTTCCAGTCTTCTATTACAAATTTAAATAATCTATTCATTACCTATGATAACGATGTGTGCTTTCGTTTATTATCAACAAATTTATATTCCGAGATATGAGAAAAAAAATGATTTAAAAAAAAATGAAAAAAAATACTAATATACTTTCTCTCACTACAGCTTCACTTTACCATTCACAACCAAAACGATCATCTTGGGAGCTTCCACACACCATAAAATATAGTGTTGATCCTTCAACTACGACCTTTCAGTTTACTTTATCAGTTTTCTTTATTGTGTGTTTGCTGATCTACAACTACAATCATCTGGTTTATTTTACTAGTTCTCTTTATTGTTTGGATCAACAGCATTCACCATCAATTACTCTTGCATGACCAAACAGTGAAACTTGACCATAACTCTTATAACCGTCCATAGAGCCAGAGTGTTTGTTTGTAGTTAAGCACAAAGCTACACAATGGGCTAGCTGTGCTGGGCCTAACATGTGTATCGAAACCTAGTTTTTTATCATTATAAGCCACCAGACGTACTGCTGTGCCACTGGGTGGGATTCAAAGTGTGTTATTAATTTTGTTTTTTTTCTAACAGTTTTAAGTTGTTTCTTTATTGCATAATTTATATTAATTCGGGTAAATTAACACTATTCAATAGACTATCAGCTAAAAATCAGGGTCAGTTATGCACAGGTAGCTCCTGTGCAGGTATTTCCTTCAAGAGTTTGGCGCCTTCTAATATATTGTTGGTAAATTACCTCTGTTTGAGGTTCTTTACTCAGGTATTTCGAAACTCGCCCCAATTAAGTTATTAATTTAAGTCCCTCTAATTTAAAGAAATGGAGTATAAGTGTTATAAAATGACCGATAGTTCAAGTTTCTTGAGATTTGAAATAATAATAGTGTTTACTGCTCTATGTTAACTCATGTTTACGATTATGACATCTGTAATGAAGTAAAGGACAAATGCAGAATAACTTTTTTCTCAATCTTATAGAAAAGTCTTGATTCAGAAACACAAAGTCTAGAAGGAAAAGGCGACACGCACATTTGTATTCCTTCCACTGGGATTGGATGGAGGTAAGCAACATAAATAGTGAAATTTAATAACACTGCTTCCATTGGGATAGGATGGAGGTAAGTACTGGTTATTGAAATTAACGTTTCTTTCACTGATTAGATGGAGGTAAGCATCTGAATAGTGAAATAAATAACACTGCTTCCATTGGGATAGGATGGAGGTAAGTACTGGTTATTGAAATTAACGTTTCTTTCACTGATTAGATGGAGGTAAGCATCTGAATAGTGAAATTTAACATTTCTTCTACTGGAACTGAATGGAGGTAAACATCTAGATACTGAAATCTAAAACGTTTCTTCAACTGGGATTGAATGTAGGTAAACATCTAGATACTGAAATCTAAAACGTTTCTTCCACTGGGATTGAATGGAGGTAAACACGTAGATACTGAAATTTAATAACGTTTCTTCCACTGGAACTCAGTAGAAGTAAACACCTAGATACTGAAATTTAATAACGTTTCTTCCACTGGAACTCAGTAGAAGTAAACACCTAGATACTGAAATTTAATAACGTTTCTTCCACTTGAACTGGTCAATAGTAGATTTCTGTATACATAAACCACACTGAGTTGGTGAGCGAAGGTTTTTTTGTTTGATTCAAGGAAACCAAAAAGATTAGCATTAACCATTCTCTCCAAAACTTTACAGAGACAGCTAGACAAAAACCATAGGAATCACGGATCCTTCTCAGGTTTAGAAAAGGGATGATAAAAGTCTGACGCCATGCATCTGTAAAATCCTTGTTATGCAAAATCCAATGCTAAACAACTAAGAAAAAGACCAGGAGTGGAAGCAAAGACATAACACAGCATATTATAATGAATATAATCTGGTCCAACAGATGTATTACCAAACCTGTTTAGAGAAATTTTACGTTACATCAAAGTGGTCGATTACATTTAAATAGATGATCATGCCAAAAATAAAGCGGTGCTCTTTCAGCCCTTGTCCAGATGACCAAGGAAGAAGGGTAAGAGGTGAATATATTGGAATTGTGAGAAATGCAATACCCTGTAAATCAGCAATCTGTTGGGCATTGAGTTGCAAGATCGAATAACGATGTGAGGTATGCTTCTCATTCATCTTTTGAATTATATCTCAAACGACTTTGAACCTAGTGGCGGAAAAGCTACTTGGAGTGAAATTAATCCAAGATGTATTCTAGTTTAAACGTTTGACCTTCCAAGCATGAGAATGAGCCTGTTGAAAAGCCACGTGATTGGGAAGAGTGAGATATCTGCAGAAGATATCCTAGACCCATTTTGGAGCCTTCCTTGCCAGTTGGCACTCAGGAGTCTTCCATGAACGAGGATGCCATTGGGAATATCTCGAGCTTTTAGGGATTGAAAAACAGTTGCTTGAGCAATATAATCAGGCACTGGCTCCATGCAGTCATTAACAGAGGGTAGATTAGTGACAACAAGATAAACCTCTGAGAGAGTGATGAAGGAAGGCCAATTAGCCCTCTTCAGCTTTTACTATGGCACATGAGTTAGATGATATTGACTGTGACCAATCACTCTCAGAATGATGTGAAAATTATCACTGCCTCAGGGATCCTTGTCCATCTTCCAAGAAAAACAGGAAAGAACAGAAAGATTATTAATCACTAGATCTACTGCAGTAAAGACTGACCTAGAGCATGGAAATAAGTAGATAATCAAGTACGAAGTAATAAACGTTGTGATCTGAGAGCATATGCTTGACAAAATAACTCCTCTCATCAATACCTGCGCCACATCAGAGTGGGTCATGTTCTTCATTAAAGTCTCCAAGGATGAAGAAGGGTGATAAGATCATCAAGGTTTGCGTGATCAAAATTCTTTTCTAGTTATAGGTAAAGTGAACAAACTGTGATGGTACAACCAATAGAGACACAGATAGGTAAAGCAAACAAACTGAGGTGGTACAACCAATAGAGACACAGATAGGTAAAGCAAACAAACTGAGGTGGTACAACCAATAGAGACACAGATAGGTAAAGTGAACAAACTGTGATGGTACAACCAATAGAGACACAGATAGGTAAAGCAAACAAACTGAGGTGGTACAACCAATAGAGACACAGATAGGTAAAGCGAACAAACTGTGATGGTACAACCAATAGAGACACAGATAGGTAAAGCAAACAAACTGAGGTGGTACAACCAATAGAGACACAGATAGGTAAAGCAAACAAACTGTGATGGTACAACCAATAGAGACACAGATAGGTAAAGCAAACAAACTGTGGTGGTACAATCAATAGAGGCACAGATGTTAACATCCTTCAGTGGTTTATTGATGGAGTAGAGTCATAGGGTGTGCATGCTAATATGTCAGCAGCAACATAACACCTCTAAGATCCACCCATTACACATCCTGTCTTTCCTGTATAAGGAAAACTGCTGAGTGTTAACATTATCAGTAGTTCCAGGAATGCATCCTTTAAGAGATACACAAAAAATGGTAAGAATCAATCAATCTAAATTAGAGCATAAACCTCGACAGTACCGTGTATCAGAATAGCCACTTGTATCTAGAGTGTGTTGGAGATCTAGGTGGGAAGTCTTTACATTTTGATTTATTACCATTTTGTTGTTCTTTACTTGTAGTAGGATCATTGACCTCATGGATCCTGTTTGAATCAAAGAGGTGAGTAGCCATCAGACGAATGTGATTCTAGTGATTGAGGCTGGACTGCATAATGTTCCTTTACTTCAGAGCTAATGGAAGTGGACCTCACCACTCACTGTTATCAGAGGTGGGAACACAGAAGGGAGTAGACGTGGACTGTCTACTTGTTTATCCAAAAAGCCCCTAACGTGGTTAGAGAAACACTTTGCAAGTGAAGATAAGAGATCTGTGTGCACCCCTACTGTAGTAGTCAAACAGCATGCAGTAGCATAAGTCCATGTTGTAAAAAAGTGTTACCAATTTTCTCACCTAAGGATATGAAATGTTGATAGTCTTTACTACTGTACATTTTTCTCCTCCATCCATTTGGGCATGCTTGAAAGTATGAGGGATGGAAACCAAAGAAGTTAACACAACACGAGTCGCTGACACTGATATCTGTACTGATATTTGCCATAACATGAGCACGTGTTAAAGGCCCACAGCAAGATATTTTGACGTTGGAAACAACATGGGGAGTATGTCCCCAATGGACTTTAACCTCAAAAGTTTGCCATCTTTTGATCAGAATGTTTTAACCAATATGTCTCCACATCTTAATTTCTTAGTTAACCTCAGAGAGCTGGCAAGCCCTTCTAATCCATCTTGGATGAAAAGGGAAGACATCCAACTAAGAGATTTTTCTGAAATTGAATGAGAAATAAGAAAAAGAGTTACAGGAACTTCAGGAGGTAGAAACTGTGTTGTATCAAAGTCTTTGAGGTACAGGAACTTCAGGAGGTAGAAACTGTGTTGTATCAAAGTCTTTGAGGTACAGGAACTTCAGGAGGTAGAAACTGTGTTGTATCAAAGTGTTTTGTATGCCACATTTTTTTGTCAATTATTGTTTTTTTTTGTATTCTCATTATTTTGGGTCTCTATAACAAAGAAAAGAGCTTCAGTACAAACTGACTCCACTGACCATGGAGTCCAACAAGGGAGCACCTTACACTGTTATATTCGGATAGTATAGCAACCCCAGGATATCATGTGTACTATATCCATACACCAGCACTGAACTTAACATTCACAACACCTGTTGAGAACATCTGACACTAGCCACAAAAGACAAACTGATTATCATTAGGGGGATACCCAAAGACCAATCCTGCAAGGTGGTGTATAGCAGTTACCTATACACCACTCAACTACCAGGATCTTCTACTCCCTTTCATGGGTCGTCAAGCACAGCAAACACGTGAGTGGATGTTCGGATTCCAGAGAATATTAAATATATAAACTGAGCCTCACCTGGTAGGTCGGTACCACGTGCAGGAATCCACATCGATGGGTCACGTATACATGACTGCTTGTTAGTAAGTGAAATTAAGGACTGGTTCACGTACACATGACTGCTTGTTAGTAAGTGAAATTAAGGACTGGTTCGTACGTACACATGACTGCTTGTTAGTAAGTGAAATTAAGGACTGGTTCGTACGTACACATGACTGATTGTTAGTAAGTGAAATTAAGGACTGGTTGACACGCCGCACACATGACTGATTGTTAGTAAGTGAAATTAAGGACTCGTTGTCACGTACACATGACTGATTGTTAGTAAGTGAAATTTAGGACTGGTTGTCATGTGTACATGACTGATTATTAGTAAGTGAAATTAAGGACCGGTTGATACGTACACATGACTGATTGTTAGTAAGTATAAGTAAGGACTGGTTGGCACGTACACATGACTGATTGTTAGTAAGAGAAATTAAGAACTGGTTGTCACGTACACATGACTGATTGTTAGTAAGATAAATTAAGGACTGGTTGTCACGTACACATGATTGATTGTTAGTAAGTGAAAGTAAGGACTTGTTGTCACGTGTACATGATTGATTGTTAGTAAGTGAAAGTAAGGACTTGTTGTCACGTGTATACATCGTGTTACTGTTGGTGGGTGGAATGTATTAAGGACTGGTTGTCACGTGTATACGTTGTGTTACTGTTGGTAAGTGGAATGTATTAAGGACTGGTTGTCACGTGTATACGTTGTGTTACTGTTGGTAAGTGGAATGTATTAAGGACTAGTTGTCACGTGTACATGCTGTGTTAGTGTTAGTGAGTTAAATGGGTTTAGGACTGGTTATCATGTTTTCATTTTTGTCTGGTTCTTAGTTATTGCAATTTATTTGGCGCTGGACTGTTTTACAGAAACACATTTCACAATTTCCACAAAAATGTCTCTCTCGACACATATATTAGTTGGATAGTTTTTAGTCTTATTCTTTTCTGTTGAAAAACAACTTTCCTGCGAAAGTTCAAGGTTCTTAAGGCTGTGGTCATTCATATCCGTTATCTGATCTCCAACTTGGACACCTGCTTTATCTGCCAAACCACCGGATACCACGGATCCGATAAAATAACCCGGCATCTCCGACGGTCCTTTTTTTAAACTGTAAAAAAAAAAAGAAGTTAAACTGGAAACAATCGGGCATGTTTTACGGAAGTTTTGAAAATTACTCATAAAACTATTCATTTTAAACTTATTTATAAGAAAAATGGTTCAGCAAGTTTTTCAATTAATTGAGATTATTAAGTTAATCTATAAGAAAAACACAGTCTCTGAGGTGACAATTGGACTGTTTTACAGAAACACAATTCACAATTGGACTGTTTTACAGAAACACATTTCACAATTGTTTCGGATATTCGAACAAAACTATACAACAACTACGTGCTCTTTAGTTGAACTGATAGACTAGAAAGACGGCAAATAGTCTAAAGTTATTCAACGTTAAGTCATGGGCCACTCTTGTGTTGTCGTATAGTCAGATTTAACCGCCATTCTTAAAGTGTAATCTCATATCCAGAACCCGGAGTGTATTTTTACAACAACGCGAACCATGAATACTCGTATCAACAATCTGGACAAATTGACCATTAGGCCCTGGCTGGCCTACAAACGATAATATATAATTTTTAATCATTTGCTGCTGGAAAAGTTAATTAAAACCAATCTGTAAGTCCTGTACTAGATATTGACAATAGTTCAGAAAATTAATGTTTGTTACAATGTTTTGTTTCCAATAATCGTATAATAGTAAGAAATTATGCTTTTCACTTGTGGGTTTAATAATCTAAGACCTTAAAAAACTGTCATGTAAAAACAAACAAACATTGAATAGACAAAAACACTATCAAGGTTCTTTCAGATTTCTCCAGAAGCGTAATGTTTTTGTCAGGAACAGAAATGGGTAAAGCTGGAAATATAAATATATATACTAGCACGTGTGTCTGTTTATATTGCCCAATGCTAATATTAAAACTTTTATGTAGACATAAACATTGAGATAATATATACCATTGATTTCCCCGAAAGGGGTCCGAAGGCTGCCTGGAGGGGTCACTTGTTTTAACCTCTCGCACCACTATACAGTGGTATGTTGTCTGTCAGTCAGTCACTAGACACTCAAATAACATCGCGTAGAGGACGCTTAATGTTACAATTTGTACTGTCGTGACGTCAGTAAAACGTGCGCACGCCATGAATCACGAGACGAATTATGCACTCTGTAGGCTACAACACAGCATGACATATGAACTTCAAAAGCAATAAATAAAAATATTTGTTACTCTTAATTTTGGTTTTATTTACTCTTGAACCAGAACACTTTCGTAGACCCCGCGGAAGTACATCGAGTTTTAGCAGACGATAAATAAATGAAAGTTTGCATTCTATGAATGATTAATTTTTTTACGATAGGGGGTTGAGCCTGGTCTAATAGTTAGCGTTCCGGGCTGAGAACTATAAGGTTCAAGGTGTTCGTGAGATGAAGCTGAATACGATCCGTAGTTTCACTTGTTATCACGTTTTTGAAATGACATTCAATCGCGATATTCGGTTAAGAACAGGAAGAGAGTTCTGCTGACAGGTTACCCCCCCCCCCCTCCTACAAGCGAATAGTTCGAAATTAAGGGACAGCTATATCTAAACAAATATAATGCAAGATATCTCTGCACTTGTGAAGGATCTGTAGTCACAAGGTTCCCACTAGATCGAAAGTTTTCATGGACTAGGTATGTCCACTTTTATATACTGTATATATGGCTTCAGACCAAGAAGGTTGGGACCCATGTGTCGCGTAAGGTGTCGTTGAAGTTAACAAGAGGAAATCTTGTAATTAATTCTCAAATCGGTCAAGAGATGGAGCTATGAGCTAAAAGCTTGTACTTGGAAAACCTCAGAACTATTTTATGAGCCACTATGCTGCGGCTAAAAATGCTAAATACCAAATTTTTTCTTTATGATACTACGTAGTATGGATTTATAAATATGTACCAGTGTTATTAGTAGGAAGTGACGTAATGAACTTGCGAATTATGTTACTAATTTCTTCGTTATGATAGAAATTTGTTGTTGTGATTTAGGTTTTAGCAGGAGTTTATTCTGTTGATTCATTAGGTTATGGACTTGGTAAGATCAAAGAAATCCATAAACTTGGTAGTGAAGAAAGGTGCAGGATTAGATCTGTTTCCCGAGGAGAAAGAGAAGCGCAGAAAGTTGACATTCCTGCCGATGGTTTGTGAAGAAGACATCCAGCAACAGACGTAAACGAAGCTTTTCTGACTAATATATTGTTCATCTTTGTTGGAATAAGGATCTCCACAATAAGATATTTTATGCATAAGTTTTCAATAAATTTCTATAGTCAGCAATATATTGAAAACTAACATATAAGCTAGTTTAAAGTTTGTAGTGAAAACTGGAGAGTTCTATTTACTTTTAAGAAGAGAAGTAAAAACGCGACCCATTACTCCAAAAAACTTAATTGGTTTTATTCAAACCAAGTTTCGTCATTACGGCTTCATCGGGGCAAACAAGATTCTTGATAACTGATTTGTTTGTTTTTGAATTTCGCGCAAAGCTACACGAGGGCTATCTGCGCTAGCCGTCCCTAATTTAGTAGTGTAAGACTAGAGAGAAGGCAGTTAGTCATCACCACCCACCGCCAACTCTTGGGCAACTCTTTTACCAACGAATAGTGGGATTGATCGTAACATGATAATGTCCCCACGGCTGAAAGGGCGAGCATGTTTGGTGGGGCGGGGATTCGAACCCGCGACCCGCAGATTGCGAGTCGAGCTACCTAACCACCTGATAATTGATATGGGTTTAGACAAAAGATTTACAAAGTGATTTATCAAGTGCTTTGTTTGCCCAGATGAAGCCGTAATTACGAAACGTCAGCTTAAATAAAGCCAATTATGTTTTCCGGAGTAATATATGGTGTTTTACTTCTCTTTTTACCTAACATGTAAACTATCTACATAATAGTGCAACCTTTCCTGTAAGGATATTTGAATTCTCAAGTTATCAATAAAAAAAGAACTGAACTTTTATTGTTAAAATAATCTGTTGAAATGATGTTTTATTATTATTTCTTATTAAAAGTTAGTAAGTATATTCTTGTAATAAAGCTGACCGAGAAGTAGCTGCATGTATTTTGAGTTAACTTATCAAAACTGTTAAACATTCATTTATAAACGTCAATGTTTTATGCTCAAGTACATATGGACATGTATAATGTTTATTTTGCTTTTTCTGATTTCCTGAAATGAACAGCGGTATAAATTCACCACGAACACCGATTAAGTAAAACACTAATAAGTACCTTCTTTCTTGAATATTCTCTTTGAGTATTATTTTATTAAAATATGTAGTTATAAGTAGGCTTGCTAACCCCCAGGATTCTCAAAAGAATTATATAAAGAAAAAAATAAAAAAGTTTCTTTAAATTTTTGATGCTTGCAAATAAAAAAACGCTTCAGTGTCACTCGACGAACGTGCAGCTCACGTTCCCATATTGAATTACGTAACGCACGAGGTCCTCGCGAGCATACTTCGTGAAAAATTATTATTATTATTATTCATTATCTTACCTAATCTTACCTTATCTGACCTAATTCCTATTTTTTATTTTAATTACTTTTATAACAATAAATGAAGAATACACATAAAAAACAAGAAATATAGTACTTACAGTAGCGTAGGGAAGGGGGCAGGGAGGGGTACTTGTCCCGGGCGCACTTCGAGCCACCATACACACTCCAACTCCACACCAGTGTTTATGCCCATCTTCAATATTCTATTTTACTTTTGAACAAAATATAAACATTAAGATTATAGCTTAAAATACGTGTTTCCTGTATTTGGCAGGCCTAAGAAATATGCTATCCAGCAACTCTCCAGCTAGGTTGTGTAGAAAGACTCTTTTCGTTTAAATAGTTTTGAATAACATGATTTATAACGCCTATTAAAAAGACTCTTTAGTAAAAATTTTTAATGTTTTAATGTTTTTGTGGAAAAAAATCCTACTTACTGGCGAAATTATATTCTTGATAAAACAACACAGTAATAGTACATTTTTTCAAAAAATGTTTGTTTGTTTGAAGCT